AGTAAAACTATGAAATCTATTTTGAAATATGCACGAACCAAAAATAGCAATTAACTAATTTTTATGTCAGCTAACTATAATTTATTTGAATGCTATCAGATTTTGGATACAGAAGTATAAACATTGATAAATGTGTTGTTTTTTTACTAAAATTGGCGTATACTTATACATTTACTAAAATCTGATTAAGCAGGACCTCTCTCCATCCTGCGTATGAACCTTTGTTTAATATACCTGAACGCAACCTTCTTCTTTAAGCAACAAGTTCTTGAAATCGACAACGGGGTTGTCGAAACGTAGGACAATGTTTGCATTGAAAAGCCCCCCCCCCCCCCAGTGGCACAGCGGTATGTCTGCCGACTTACAACGCTAGAATCCGGGTTTCGATACCAGTGGTGGGCAGAGCACAGATAGCCCATTGTGTAGCTTTGGGCTTAATTACAAACAAACAATACAATGATAATTTTAGTTGGCGCGTGTTTCTAAATAACTTACACGAACTGGTTATACTACCTGGAATCGCATAAACTTCTCACGAGCTTATCATTTGCGTGACTGGAAATTTATCAAAAAACTTCGTTCATTTCAGAAGGTTAATCTAACGTATTAAAGCGGAACATGCTTCAAAGTTGCGCAATATAGCATGACTATGCTTCGAAAAAACAAATAAATGTACAACAATATTATGAGGGTAATAGAGCTTTGCCATCGTAGAAATACGTAATAAGTTTAGATTGCGAAATGCATCTATCTTTCAAGACTGGATAATTGGTATCAAATGTATTTTCTTGCAACAGGAAAACTTAGTTAAATAACAGAAATGTTTCCAAATCTTAGTTTATTTTGGACTCATTTTCAAATATTAGTCACAGGTATTATTATAAGCAGCATGTATATGCTGATATACTGTACTAGCATACAGCAGGATATCAACGTTTATCTCAAAGGACAAAAGAAAGAAACATTTCCTATAAAATTACCGGGATGTCTTGGAGCTATTGTCCTTCAAACTACAAGGTCTTTAAACCTGAGTTAAATGGTAATAAGGCTATTCTATTAAACAAATATATATATATAGGCACACCTTTTCTACTATGTCTTTAAACCTGGGTTAAATGGTCATATGGCTATTCTATTAAACAAATATAGGCACACCTTTACTACAATGTCTTTAAACCTGGTTTAAATGGTAATATGGCTATTCTATTAAACAAATATAGGCACACCTTTACTACAATGTCTTTAAACCTGGTTTAAATGGTAATATGGCTATTCTATTAAACAAATATACTACGTATATACAGCAATTATTTTGAAATATTGTTTGTTTACTATCTGTGCTCTTCCCACCGCGAGTATCGAAACCCGATTTTTAGTGTTATAAGCTCACTGCCTTACCACTGAGCCACCGGGAGCTTATTTTAAGATACATTATTATTCTGAATAATCTTACCATATCAGTAGAATACGCTGGCTGGTTGTTTCGGAAATTCGCGCAAACTTACGCAAGGGTTAGCTGCGCTAGTTATCTCTAATATTGAACAGCAAGGCTAGAGGAAAGGCAGCTTCTCAATAGCACCCACCGCCATCTCTTGGGTTACTGAAATCGAATAGTGGGAATTGACTGTCACATGTTTTGTTGTTGTTGTTGTTTTTTTGTATTTGTGTGTGTGGGGAGGGGGTGGGTGGCCACAGGACGAACAATGAACCTTTGCTTTCACAGTTCAGCTCACCAATCATTAAACAACACTTGGCCAGGATAGCACAGATACTGATTTGAAAATAAAACCTACCATATACAAAACTTTTCTATATTTCATGTCATTACAAAGATTATATTCAAAATCATGTGACACATGGTTTAGCACACCAATCTAAAGTTACTGAAGTTTACCAGTTTTACGATTTTTTCTGGAGTCTTTTTCTCTAAACATTTTTAGGTCCATCAAAACAATCTCTTCTGTTCCTATAGCTAATATTAATTAGCATTTCTAATATTAAATGTTTTACAAGCTAATTTAAAGTTACAACTAGTTGCCTAATATAAAAACCATTTTTCTTCCGCACAGTGTTGCTTAGTAATTTTTTTTTTGCGCGTTATCAGGGTAAGAACACTTACTAAAGTCACGTGGTTTCATTATTTTCTACTCACATCCTTTAAATATACTTTCTTCTGCCTCAGTGGTAATCTTCAATATTTATAACGCTAAAATTAGGGGATCTATCCCTGCAGTAGGCAAGCACAAATGAGGCTACTGCTTATATTTGTACTTAACAATAAACAACCAATTAAGTTTTTGGAAATCATAAAAGTATTCTTAAAATCAGCAGAAAGCCTCTGTTAATCCAGTTTCTTGCTCAGGATTTGAAGCATTCTTATTTGTAGCTAGTAACTAGAAAGAGGGAGGGGGACGACAATGGTCTTTTTCATTTGAAGTAAGGCTCCTTTCAAGATTTAGAGCGAAACGTTACATATTTGTGTACTTTATCTTTCTTCTGTGTTGAGACACCTTATAGGGTATTCAGCTCAATCAAAGGTGATTATAGGCCTATAGGCACAGATAATTGGAGAGCGTTTAAAGTTGTATTTTTTTAGTTAGGTTTGTCACGTACGTGATAAAAAGTAAGTTGAACTACAATTAAATCTAGAATGAAGTATACGAAGTTGAGAGAAATCAGGCCAGCTACAAGATTCAAGAATCTCAAACGAACTTTATGTTTGTCTCTATTCAATATAATAAATTACTAGAATCTCCTAAAACATCACAATCATGACGAACTGGATAGCTTGTAGTAAACGCATTGTTCAGTTGTATGGAGTGTGATTTGAATTAACATATTCCTTTGTGCAGCAAGAAAACCTGACTCGTAAAATATCACTCGGTCGTTTGAGAAAAGAGCTTTCGAAGTAAAAAAAGTACCTATACTAGGGTAAAAAGTGCAGTTAAGACGGATTTCGAATATTCAGTTGCAATTGCTTGAAATAGATAGTTTTTTTGCATTTTGAAACTCGAGACTTAAAAACAGCATATAAAAGAATCAAAATTTTTTTCTGTATTCCTGACTGAGGATAGGTTAAAAAACATTGAAGAAACATATATAAAAAATATAATGCTTGATTTGAATTACTGGTTTTATTGATTGGATTAATACGATATTGGGAAAATAAATTGTACAACTATTTGAAATAAATTAGAAATGTATTCAAGAGCACGATACAGAAATTAAAATTTGATCTGTATTTCTTTCTAGTATAGAAAAAAATAACACTGAGCTTAAATAATATAAGGTAAAACATAATCTTGATCTGTATGTTTCTGTCTAGTTTAAATATAATTAACGCCAAACTTAAAAGACATTATTTATAACATAATCTGGTTCGGTATATTTCTGTCTAGTTTAAATAAAATTAACACCAAGCTTAAAAACATAATTTAGAACATAATCTTGTTCGGTATATTAACACCAAATTTAAAAAATATAAGGTAAAACATAATCACGATCTGTATGTTTCTGTCTAGTTTGAATAAAATTAACACCAAACTTAAAAACCATAATGTAGAACATAATCTTTATCTGTATTCCACGGTTGATATATTATAAATTGAATGATTACGAAATCTTATTAATTGTTTTTGTTTTTACTAGCCTATATGGTGACTTCTTATGAGTGCATTCATACATTGGCACCTATTAAGATTTAACCACATCTTATCAACTCGAACGATAAGTATAATGTGGATATTTCTCGAAAAATAACTCGGTCATTTTGTATTTGTATTTTTGTGTCTATGGCAGAGCTAATAAGTGTTCTGTTTTGTTAACCCTCAATCATTGCGTTGTTTCTTCACAATATAACACTGACAAAAGTTGATTTGTTATATTGCACAAAGTACAGACTAACAGATACGTTCCACCAGCCTAGACTTTACACCCCACTAGACTTGCATAAATATTTCTGTCATCATTTATTCGCTCTTTTTATTGCAGTCTATGAGTGTGTAACATAACACATGAACATGAAACTTTATAGCAATATTTTATGAATTTAATTAATGTTAACTCTGTTTGTTTGTTGTTAAGCGCAAAGCTACACAATGGGATATCTGTGATCTTTTCACCACAGGTATCAAAACCCGATTTTTAACATTATAAGTCTACAGGCTTACCGCTGTGGCACTAGGGGACAACATCAAACTTACGGATTTGAAAACCTTATATATTACACTAAATTTCTTCGTCTTCGAATCTACTGTAAGAGGGCGTTGTCTGCTACTACAAATCTTTTTTAAAAATAAGGTTAACCTTATCTAGCTTTTTTTTACATCTAGTAAACAGCAAGGTTTGGCAAGATTTAAGTTGTAAAACTAAATCTGAAATGAGAATATTTTTGTAAATCAACTTATGAAAGTTTTGATTTTTTTAAAAATTATTTGATATGTTTGTCTATTTATATAATTTATTCAATTTCATTATATCAAGTTTGTTCTGGGAAAATCTAATGATTTATCGTTTCCTACAAAAAACGTTTTTTTTTTTCATAATCAGATGCCTGTTTTGGTAAATCTAACAAAATGAGAGGTTTACGTTAATAGTTTTTATGTTATCTTTTACTAGCTTTAGTTGAAGACTTTACTATCCAAAGACTATCGCATAAGATTTTACAACATCTATTTCAGAAGTGTACATCTTGCGATCCTAACATGTTGCTAAAAGTGTAGACGTGACCTGTCTGTATCAGAAGTTTCTCCACAATCAGTGACCTACTTTACAACCGACTGCTTAGCATTAAAAGTACAAGGTCCTTGTTGTTTGTGGAGTATTGACCCCGAATTGATCTCAGCACCTGGTAAGTAAAACTGTTGTCCACCATCCATGACTTTCATACGAAGTACGTTTTACCTCCAAACCTATATACAATAGACCCAAGGCATCTGTGAAAACACCGACCAAGATTTAAAATACATAAGACTCTAACATTGTTAACGCCAAATAGATAATTATAATGTAATTATTGTGCCTAAAATCTGAACGTCAATATTTTATGTAATAACACTACAGCTAAATCATTGATATAAGAATATCATTATTTCATACACGAAGCTCCCTTTAAAGCATAACTTCACTCAGATAGTGAAAATATTAATGAATCCTAAAAAAGCAGCTGTATAACAACTGTATACATACAGAATTTTAAAAAATAAATAAATGTGTATATAGATGATAAGCTAGACAAATAAAAGTTTTAAGATTCAAAAGCACTTCTAAGACCAAGTGTCAGTATTTCTGCACGCACATATACACGTTTCTGTGACATGTTTTATTTTTTATATAATTATATATAGCCTCCTCGTGGAACAACGGTAAGCTTAAGAACTTACGACGCTAAAATCAGGAGTTCGATTCCCGAATTTGGACAAGCAAGTAGCCCAATGTGGTTTTGCTCTAAAATAGAGATAGAGAATTATATATGAGAGATAAAACCAAATATTTCACCTTCTGTCAGTAACTTTCAAATGATTTCTGACTAAACAAACTGTACCGCACAGGCTTTGTTAAGACGTTTTAATAACAGCGTGACTGTTTTCGTTCTGACAAAATCCGCATCTGGTTAGCTATTGAAAAGAGAAATTTAAATAATTATTTTTCTTCCTTTGTATTCACTCTGTTTGTTGACCTAGACGTGATAAACAGCGCGTGGTCGAGTTCGTTTCTTCCATCGGCTCTATGTAGGTCATTTCTTTTTTAAGCCGTATGTGTCCTTCTTAACGCCTGTATCTAGGTGGAATATTTCATTAGTATAGAATATGGGTAATAAATCTGAGAACTGGCTTTGGTGTTTTCAGGCTATAGGCATTTTATCAGAAATAGGACACGCTGCATTCGTCACTATTTTGAAACTTTGCAGCGGTCACTGAAGTGGCT